GGGTGATGGGGACCCACCTGGAGGCCTGGGGGTGATGGTAGGGGGTGATGGGAACCCACCTGGAGGCCTGGGGGTGATGGTAGGGGTGATGGGGACCCACCTGGAGGCCTGGGGGTGATGGTAGGGGTGATGGGGACCCACCTGGAGGCCTGGGGGTGATGGGGACCCACCTGGAGGCCTGGGGGTGATTTTAGGGGTGATGGGGACCCACCTGGAGGCCTGGGGGTGATGGTAGGGATGATGGGGACCCACCTGGAGGCCTGGGGGTGATGGTAGGGGTGATATGGACCCACCTGGAGGCCTGGGGGTGATGGTAGGGGGTGATGGGGACCCACCTGGAGGCCTGGGGGTGATGGTAGGGGTGATGGGGACCCACCTGGAGGCCTGGGGGTGATGGTAGGGGTGATGGGGACCCACCTGGAGGACTGGGGGTGATGGTAGGGGTGATGGGGACCCACCTGGAGGCCTGGGGGTGATGGGGACCCACCTGGAGGCCTGGGGGTGATGGTAGGGGTGATGGGGACCCACCTGGAGGCCTGGGGGTGATAATAGGGATGATGGGGACCCACCTGGAGGCCTGGGAGTGATGGTAGGGGTGATGGGAACCCACCTGGAGGCCTGGGGGTGATGGTAGGGGTGATGGGGACCCACCTGGAGGCCTGGGGGTGATGGTAGGGGTGATGGGGACCCACCTGGAGGCCTGGGGGTGATGGGGACCCACCTGGAGGCCTGGGGGTGATGGGGACCCACCTGGAGGCCTGGGGGTGATGGTAGGGGTGATGGGGACCCACCTGGAGGCCTGGGGGTGATGGTAGGGATGATGGGGACCCACCTGGAGGCCTGGGGGTGATGGTAGGGGTGATGGTAGGGGTGATGGGGGCCCACCTGGAGGCCTGGGGGTGATGGTAGGGGTGATGGTAGGGGTGATGGGGACCCACCTGGAGGCCTGGGGGTGATGGTAGGGGGTGATGGGGACCCACCTGGAGGCCTGGGGTGATGGTAGGGGTGATGGGGACCCACCTGGAGGCCTGGGGGTGATGGTAGGGGTGATGGGGACCCACCTGGAGGACTGGGGGTGATGGTAGGGGTGATGGGGACCCACCTGGAGGCCTGGGGTGATGGTAGGGGTGATGGGGAACCCACCTGGAGGCCTGGGGGTGATGGTAGGGGTGATGGGGACCCACCTGGAGGCCTGGGGGTGATGGTAGGGATGATGGGGACCCACCTGGAGGCCTGGGGGTGATGGTAGGGGGTGATGGGAACCCACCTGGAGGCCTGGGGGTGATGGTAGGGGTGATGGGGACCCACCTGGAGGCCTGGGGGTGATGGTAGGGGTGATGGTGACCCACCTGGAGGCCTGGGGGTGATGGGGACCCACCTGGAGGCCTGGGGGTGATGGGGACCCACCTGGAGGCCTGGGGGTGATGGTAGGGGTGATGGGGACCCACCTGGAGGCCTGGGGGTGATTGTAGGGATGATGGGGACCCACCTGGAGGCCTGGGGGTGATGGTAGGGGTGATGGTAGGGGTGATGGGGACCCACCTGGAGGCCTGGGGGTGATGGTAGGGGGTGATGGGGACCCACCTGGAGGCCTGGGGGTGATGGTAGGGGTGATGGGGACCCACCTGGAGGCCTGGGGGTGATGGTAGGGGTGATGGGGACCCACCTGGAGGACTGGGGGTGATGGTAGGGGTGATGGGGACCCACCTGGAGGCCTGGGGGTGATGGGGACCCACCTGGAGGCCTGGGGGTGATGGGGACCCACCTGGAGGCCTGGGGGTGATGGGGACCCACCTGGAGGCCTGGGGGTGATGGTAGGGGTGATGGGGACCCACCTGGAGGCCTGGGGGTGATGGTAGGGGTGATGGGGACCCACCTGGAGGCCTGGGGGTGATGGTAGGGGTGATGGTAGGGGTGATGGTGACCCACCTGGAGGCCTGGGGGTGATGGGGACCCACCTGGAGGCCTGGGGGTGATGGGGACCCACCTGGAGGCCTGGGGGTGATGGGGACCCACCTGGAGGCCTGGGGGTGATGGTAGGGATGATGGGGACCCACCTGGAGGCCTGGGGGTGATGGTAGGGGTGATGGTAGGGGTGATGGGGACCCACCTGGAGGCCTGGGGGTGATGGTAGGGGTGATGGTAGGGGGTGATGGGGACCCACCTGGAGGCCTGGGGGTGATGGTAGGGGTGATGGGGATCCACCTGGAGGCCTGGGGGTGATGGGGACCCACCTGGAGGCCTAGGGGTGATGGTAGGGGTGATGGTAGGGATGATGGGGACCCACCTGGAGGCCTGGGGGTGATGGGGACCCACCTGGAGGCCTGGGGGTGATGGGGACCCACCTGGAGGCCTGGGGGTGATGGGGACCCACCTGGAGGCCTGGGGGTGATGGTAGGGATGATGGGGACCCACCTGGAGGCCTGGGGGTGATGGTAGGGGTGATGGGTACCCACCTGGAGGCCTGGGGGTGATGGTAGGGGTGATGGTAGGGATGATG